GACTGAATTCCTAAGAGAAGAGAGAGGAGAACACAAGTCTCTCCCCCACCAACTTTTAAAAAATATTTTATTTATTTGAGAGAAAGAAAACGAGCAGGGGGAGGGGCAGAATGAGAAATAGACTCCCCACTGAGCAGGGGCCTCTCCTCCCACTCCCCCCCCACCCCGCACCATGAGGGGCTCAGTCCCAGGACCCTGGGATCATGACCTGAGCTGAAGGCAGATGCTTAACCCACTGAGCCACCCAGGCACCCCATCCCCCACCAACTTTCAAGTGGGCCTCCTTTTTCAATCAAAAGTTTAAAAAAAAAAACCACAACTACCATAAAAACCTACAGGAGCCAATCACGCACTAGGCATTTTTGAGTTACTTACTACAATATCCATTCAAGCTGAGCGTTATTGTCCTTTGTTTTATTGCTGAGAACTGGGGCTCTCAGAGAGGTTACGGAACGGTCCTGGAGTCATACAGTAACTGGCAGGTCTGCTCTTTTCATTCTGGCACATTGTCCTACGTGTCTAACCTTTTTTTTACAGGAACTTTCAGTTGAACATGTTACAAAAACTCATTTCGAGAAGAAAAAAAAATCAAACCCTCTTTTAGGCTCATTGATCTCTCTCACCACCTTCTCACCTCTCATGTGCCCTTTCGTGGGTCAGCCTCGTGACAGATGAGTCTGCTTGGACAGTCCCTTCCTTCCCTTAGCCATGCCCTCTGCCCTGAGTTTGCCACCACCGTGCTTCTCGTTTAGCACCAGGGTGCAGTGGCCCTCAGGTCAACTGTGCGTGACCACCTTGTCACTCCCCAACAGCTGGATTTTTGTGTGTGTTCCCTTGGGTTCTTTCCAGCCTTTGACACTGGCTCCCTGCTTCTGGAAGTTCTGTCCTCCCTGGGTTTCTGGACCACTAATCTCCACTAATCTCATTTTCTCCTGTCCCTCTGACTACACCTTCTCTTTGCAGGTTCTCTTCTTCAGCTCTTAAGTGTTTTGCCCCAGAGCTCTGTTTTCTGCCTTCTATTCATTTGTCCAAAAAATAGTTATTACATGTTGATCATGTGTCGGGTCCCGAGCTTTCCGCTGAGGATCGAGACAAAGGAGCAGTAGCCAAGTGGCCAAGTGGCCTGGGATGGGAGGAAGCCCATCACGCTCTGATCCTGCCCCACTGACCAGCCGGTCCTCCACTGTCAGCTTGGCGGCTCTGTACACCTGCAGCACTTCCCAGAACTCAAGGAGCTCTCTCTAGCCTCTGGGCTTTTGGGAGGGTAGAATGCTTGCTCTATCTGTCCCTATGTTTGCTTAGCTCTATCTCTTTTGTCAGGATGTGGTTTGGGCATCCTCTCTTCTGAGAAGTCTTTTCTGGCTTGCCAGAGTGAGCCAGGAGCTGCCTGTGTGCTCAAGTTCATCCCAGAACCTACACACGGAATAATTGCACTTGTCTCATTACTCTGCCCACTTCTTGATAACGGGAGCCAGGTCTTAGGCTCGTTCGTATTCCCAGCACCTAACACAGTCCTTGGTCTGTAGCTCTTTGTGGAGGGAATGAATCAAGCTTGCCAGGACTGGCCCTGCTCCTTTCCAGCCTGGACTCCTATACCCACCCCACCTGCATTGTGCGTTGTGCGTTCATTGTCCACCATGACTGAGCATGAGATTCACCTGTGGGAAAAAAAAAAAAAAAGAAATGACAGGTCTGGGCCTTATCCCATTTCAATTTAATTTGATTATCTAATGGTGGGACCCAGGCCTCTGCATTATATACCACCCCTGCCACCCCAGGTGATTCTGTTGAGCAAGAAATAAGCACATGTAGGACGTGTCTTTATACCCTAGGGCCTAGCACAGTGCTTTGCACATAACGGGGATTTGATAAAGATTTCTAGAATAATACAGCGGATCCTCAAAGCCTAGCTTTTGCATACTGGAACCCAAGCCAGCCGTTTCCTGTCTCCAAGCACCCACACACAGAAAGCCAGCCTGGGATTCTGGAAATTTTGTTTTGGAAGTTATTTGGCTCCCAAAAGGTATCACTTAGTATTTAGTCCCCTTTTTACAAAATAAATAAAGGTTTCAAAGCTTGAACTGGCTGTTGATTTGTGTAACTAAGTGACACGTCCTTTTTGTTTTAACCTCCAGAAAAACAGTAGTCAGGGAGGTGGGGTTTGGGTGAGAAAGGAGCATGTGGAAATTACTGGCTTTCATTACATAAGAATTTACGATTTGCCATGGTTTCTGGTAAATGCTGGCAAGTTTATTTGGCCCGAGGCCCTGTTAAAAGCACTGTGCTGCTTCCTTTCTGATGTTGCTGGTCTTCTTGGGCAAGGGCACAAGGTGTAGTCCAGCCTGGCAGGGATGGAGTAGGCTGGGGGGGTGGTGCAGGGGAGGGGTGACAGGACCCAGCTTTCTTTGTCCCGTTTCCTTTGGTCGTATTTGCACTTAGAAACTCTTCAAAAGCAATTTGAAGTCTCAGTGGTCTCTACCGCTTTGTGACTCAAATCTCTGAGGGCAGATAGTTGGGGGTCCTCCCCTCACTTCCCACTGCCCTTTCCCCCCAAGTTCACAGGACACAGCCTGGATTGGGGGCGCTTTAATCACCGTGATTGGTTGACTGCAGCAGCGGCCACACATACCAGACTCTCCAAGCAAAAGTTCTCGGGCGTAACCTTCTCTAAGCTTCCCAGAAATGCTGAGAGGGGGGCGGTGTCACCCCCATTTTACAGAGCACAAAACCGAGGCTCTCAGCAGTTCGGTGACAATCTCTGGCTCCCAAGTGGCTGTGCTGCACTACCACCCCCATCTCCTGACTTCCCAGCCGGGACTCCCTCCTGCACCATGGGGGTGACCTGCTTGGGCTGGAGCAAGGCAGTGGGGTACAGGCTGGTGGGGAGACAATTCTTCTTGGAGTGGCCTGCTGAGGGGGTGCTGGAGCGGGGGTGCCCAGGGCTCCAGGTCTCTAGAAGGGCTGAGGGGTGGGAGGAGCCTGCAGCCCACCCTGGGCCAGAGCCCTGGGAGCAGGGCCGCCTCATTCCCCTTCCATTCCAGGTCCTGGCAGAGACATCTGGAAACTTCTTCCCTCTATTTGGAATCGGGGGAAAACTCAGAGTAAACAGGCACATAAAACCTACCTGAACTTGTTATTATAACCCCATAAAAGGTTAGGAAACGGTTGACGGATGGGAAGAGAGAAATCAAGCGACCTCTTGGTGTAGTCGGCTTGTTTACCACCAGCCTCTTATTTATCGGCGCTGTGTCTTCCATTTGTCAGGCTCTAACGATAGCAGCTTTTATGAGTAAGCAATTTTTTAATGAACTTGTTCCAAATGTGTATTCTGTTCTTGGAACTCTCTGTGCTCCGAAGCAGCTTTGTAATTACTGCCTCCGGTGGAATAGCCAGGCTCTATCTGGCTTTTATGTAAGCAATTGCACTTGGTTTGCCTCTTCCTCTTTTAGCTTCAAATAAGGAAGATGAAGGGGATGGAAAAAAAATACAATAATGATAGCTTTGGGGAAAGAGTGCTTATTATATGCTAGATATTGTTCTCGACCTCATGCATTCATCTTTTTGTTTTATCCCAACGTCACTTGGGTCTAAGGCAACTTGTAGCGTCCCATTTTATGGATGAGGCAAGTGGCTCCCGGGCACCGAGCCAAGTGTCTGAAGTCACTCAGGTAGTAAGGGATCAAGAGACAAGATCTGAACACAGGTCTGTCTGCCCCCACAGCCTGTGCTCCAGCCCCCACTGCTGTGGGGGGTGGGCTGCCTAGAGCCGGGGGCGGCCAAGGCCAAGCAGGAGCGGGAGGAGGAACTTGGGACACTGATGAATGCTGAGGAGTCGTTTGCCACATTGTCCCATGCAAGAGATGTCGCAATTCGCTGCTGATGGCTCTGTAATTATGGATAATTTTCTGGTCTTTTGCTTTCATAAAGGGAAATAGAAGAGTTTAGAGAGCTCCCTAAACTTGTTGCTGCCCATAATAATGCCGCCTTCTGTCTTGGCTTATGGCTGCACCATTTTCCCCAAGCTCAGAAAAATTTCATATGGTAAATTTGGCGTCTTCTTTGTGACACGAATCATTAGCATCTTACTCAGAGCCCTGCCCCTGCCCAACTGGACTGAGGCTCTGACCTGTCTCCTTCCTCTCCATCCCGCGCAGTGCTCCAGGTGGACAGGAGACATGCTGCCCTTCCATCACGCTGCTCAAGCCATCGTGGCTGTGGAAGACCAGCCCTGGGGGAGGCTTAGCTCCGAGCTCTCACTCTATGACTTGGGGCCAGTCATTTGACCTTTCTGGCATCTGTTTCCTCATCCGTAAAACGGGAATAGTAATAAGACGGATGTCTCTCGCGCAGGGTCGTTGTGAGGATTATATGTAATGATGCATGTCAGTAGCTGGCTCGTACATTTTATCACTTAGTCTCTCAGCTCCTATGTAAGCCCTGCAGTTAAGGGTTGGGAACCACTCTCAAACGGTTCCCAGTATCTTGCTTTAGTTTAGCAAATGTGTGTAGGGTGCCAGGAGCCAGGCTGTCTCAGGGCCCTGTTTCTCAATGCATCGCTATTTCCAGTATCTCTTTATGGGGTTGAAAAGGTATAAAGAGCAAAGTTTGCTTTGGAGAAACCCCCTCCGTCTCCCGACTCCTCATATTGTTCCCATGTTGCATGGACTCCCCTCTCTCGGACCTGCCGACCCCTCACTGACATTGGGCTCCCCAAAGCTTCACATTAGAACACACAGGCGCCCGGCTCCTTACCTCTTGATTAAGACAGAGCCAGGTGCTTCGCAAGAAAGGGGAAATTTGCTTGGTTCGACCCAGAAGTGGATTTGTTTCCCTCCAATTAGTTGGAAAATCGAACTTGATCTATGAAGAAGGCAGATTTACAGCCTGAGCTGATACATGACTGCCTTAGCTTTGTTGTAATAAAAGATGAAATCACTCCAGTGGGAGGCTTAGGTGGACATCGGGCTGGCTTCCTAATGACTGTTCCCTCTGATTTTCAGAGCCTGAGTAAAGCCGGCCAGGATGATCAAATAGCCCTTCATGGTAGGTGAGGGATAATCTGGGGAGCTGGAGAAGAAGGAGGAGGGAGTGTGTATTTTTGCTTTGCTTTCCATTCCAGTGCCTTTTACGGAGATTCGATGGTGCTCCTCCAGATCTCCAGATGCAGAAAGGGAACTGTTCTGACTTCCAACCGAAGTCTCTGTGGCCTGCGGGTCCTCAGGCCAGATGGCCGCCAGCATGGTCTTCGCCCCTATAAAGCTTTCCTTTCTGTTTAGCCTCTCTTTAGCCATTGACTGGTTTTTCTCCTGTTTCCCCAGGGCTTGCTGTCTGCTCCAGCTTTTGCTGGCTATCTCTTGCTGTCTATTTATCCATCCTCCTGCTTCCCATCCTCTCCCTCTTGCTTCCTCTCTTTCTCTTCCCTCCTCCCCTCGTTGCCACTCCATCCTATTCTCTGCCTTACTTGCCTCCCTTCTTCACATGGTCCGATTTTTTTTTAAAATTTATTTATTTATGATAGTCACAGAGAGAGAGAGAGAGAGAGAGAGAGAGGCAGAGACATAGGCAGAGGGAGAAGCAGGCTCCATGCACCGGGAACCCGATGTGGGATTCGATCCCGGGTCTCCAGGATCGCGCCCTGAGCCAAAGGCAGGCGCCAAACCGCTGCGCCACCCAGGGATCCCACATGGTCCGATTTCTTTACGTACTTTTCTCTGGGTGATGCTGCTTTATGATATCGAGCAGGAGCGTTTGATAACATTTGCCTGACTAGGCCTGACATCGGGTGAATGATTCTCCTCTGGCAGCTTTTGATGCCGTCTGTGCATGATTGATGAGAGCTACTCAATTTGCTCTTCAAAGCTGTTGATGGTGAGCTGGGATGCATCTCCTCAGGATTTCACTTTTTCCCCTCCAGAAACAAGACCAACCTAGAAGAGGAAACCATGGCACTTCCCATTTGTTTGTTATTCTAATGGATCCCTTCTTGCGCACAAGAGACCGACCCCCGATTATACAAACCCACCATCTACAAACTGTCCTTATTCCCAGTGTCTTCCTGTTGGAGGTTTTCAATCCCAAAAGAAGTTCCTCAGGTGAGCTTTAATTTGACTGCAACCACTTTCAGCTCCAAGGAGGACACTTCGATTTGGACACTGGGTAATAAAATAAGAAGATAAATGCTATTGCTCTTGATACCAGAATCTAAGCCCACTAGGTACTCTGGCAAAAGGATATGGTCAGTGTCAGATGAGAGGAGCTAAAATGGAAAGAACCATCTGCAGCTTCTGGTTCCAAAAACAATGGGTCGAGTCCTTTATCAGTACCGATCATCCTGGATCCTAAAAGCATTTGAGAAGATGAGACCTGTTTTTTTCACCTGGCTCAGGTTTCTCCTAGTGCTGTTTCTATTTTTCAGCCTAAGAAGAGAAGTCTGCACCTGCACCAGAAGGCTTACACATTCGACTGCTTGAAGAAAGAGGGACGAACAAAATAATCTGTAGAAGATCTCTTTCACCCTTAGACTCTCTGATTCTGAAAATCAGGTACTTTAGGTCTGATAAATATAGTTCACTGGAAAGACTGCTGAATTTCGTACTAGAATACCTGAGTTTAAATGCAGATTTGGATTATGAGTTGAATGATCTTCAATAGATTTAATTTTTTTTCAGCTTTTTTTAAACAGCTTTACTGAGGAAAATTTACATACCATAAAAGCCAGCCATCGGAAGTGTACAGTTCAATGATTTTTAGTAAATTTATAGAGTTGTGCAACCCTCGCCACAATGCAGTTGTATAACATTTGAAATAAATCTTTAAACTCCATCCATTTTCTTTCTTCATCTTAAAATTGGACTTACGTGGTGGGGATTGACTGTGAAAATGAGCGTAATCCTTCAATGCGTTGCAATGGGACTTTGTTGGTTCTTCCCTCAAGAGGGAGAACTGATTTCTTCAGCCCTTGCGTCTGGGCTGCCTTGTGACTCACTTTAACCAACAAAGTGTGGTCGAATGGGTGCATGTCCGTGCTGAGCCTAGAGCTCTAAAGCACTTGCAAGCTTCTGCCCTCTTGGAATCCTACTATGTCCACCCCGAACGTAAGGTTGGGGTAGCCCGCTGGAGAGTGAAAATTCATGTGGGGAGAGGCCCCAGTCGTTCTTGTCACCCAGGCTTATGTCATCTTAGATCAGCTTCCCCCAGCTGCCCTCCAGGGAACCGCAGGTGCATGAATGTGCTTCCCTGAGATGCGTGGATCCCAGGCTAGATCAGTAGCATTGGCTGACCAACGTGGAGACCCACGCAAGATGACAATCCTGCTTTAAACTACTAGACTTTTAGGGTGCTTTGTAAAACATCTTACAGTGGCAATAAATACCTGATACAGGATAGTCACAGGAGTCACTTTTTAAAAAGCTGTGAAAACATCTGGCACTCTGCCTATCACATAGTGAGCGCTCACTAAATTAAACAAAATTCAATTTAACAAACATTGATAGAGTTATAGAGAGATAATTTAACAAACGTAGATATGTGAAAATCACTGTGAAGTTGTAAGGGATGCAGAATTGCAAAAGACCTGATGTGAACTCTTTAGAAGCCAGTCCCTGTGGGAAAAATAGACACTTACACAAAGAAGTATAAGTCAGGCTGCCCTTCTATTACAACATTTATGTCTAAGTGATTTTTCCATTGTCGGCAAATAATCATGTTCTTTTCGTGGTATTTACTTGGTTTGAAAATGTGTTCAAGGGATGTGGTTTATTGAAAAAAAAAACATAACAAAACAAACAAAACAAGCACATGGCCAAAATTAAGTTTTATTCGTATGTTCAGATATAGTGTTTGCATTTATAGGAAATGGTCTATACAGAAGCTTGGCCATATGACATGCTTCATGTGGCCAAAGAAATGGAAAAAGCAGACATGAGGTCAGAGGCAGGTGGGGAGAAAGGGTAGGTGGGAAAATCTTAATTTCTAGAATGACCAGGAGCTTTGATTCTAAGGATGCCTAAGGAGTAGAACACTGCCTTGGCAGATTGTCTTTCTGCTTACTCCAAAATATTCTAAAGGTTTTGGGGGCTAGGATTAGCGTAGGGAGGAGAGGAGAAGGAGTGGGGTTTTGCGGATGGGACCTTTGGTACACTGGAGTTTGGCTGAGCTCTATTCTCTGAATTCATGCTCTCTAGGGAGAAGGCCATCTGGGTGGTCTGATGGCACTGTGTGAAGAGCCTTGGTTTGGGAACCAGGGGCCCCAGTTTTAGTTCCAGTTCTGACCCTTATGAATCCTTGCTGTGTGACCATGGACAAGTCATTTTCCCTTCCTGGGGATTGCCCGAGGTGATTTCTAAGGTCCCTTCTAGTTCAGAGTCTACAGCTTCAGATCTCAGTCACCCATTAAGTTGAAGGAGGAAATTGAGATAATAGCAAACTGAAAAGCCCTTCCGACAACACACGTGGATCCTTGGAAGATGGAGCTGCTCAGAAAATCCAAACAGAGGTCAGTAGGTGGACCCAACAGATTTGGGTTCCCCACTGAATGTGGAGGGTCCAGATGGTCCTCACGGACTCCAGAGGTCCTGGATGCTCCCCAGTCTGTCGTCCTCTTGCTGGGCCAGCTCCCAGACCCCTAACCTGGTCCACTGAGGACCTCCTCCCTTTCCTCCTAAAGCAAGGCTGTTGGAGGGGTTTCTAATAGATGACTACAAACCATCTCAGAGATAACTGGATGATTTCTGGGACACCTTTGGGGAGACATAATCCTCATCACCTCCTGAAGCACCCCTGGGAGACAGTCAGGGACAAAAAGCAGAAGCTCCTGCCTAGATCTAAGTCATCGGAAGTGACCTCCCTCTCTGGCTGACGATGAATTCTTGACTGCAGGTTTTCAAATCATATCCATCATAGCACTGACGTCCCATCGATTGGCTTCTCACCAGAGGGGGCCCTCTGAGGGGCAGGAAGTCCCTGTCCTAGACCAGAGAGGCAGTAGGGGCAGGCCATGCCACCATGGCATGAGTGCCCAGCACTCACTGCAAGGCTGGGCCAACAGAGGCAAGACCAGTCATCCCATGTGAAATGGGGTTGCCCTTTGTTCCTTTCTCACTTCACAAAAGGAAACAGAGTACAAACAGCATCATTCAGAACATTGTCCTTCTCCCATTGTCCCACAGGGTCATCCTCTAGTTTGTGCGTCCCCCTCTCCTTCTCCAAACACCATTCAGCCTCACCTCTGGGATCATTGGATCACTGAGGCCCTGCCACTCACTACACATCACCCAAACTCAGATGCATAAGACAAAACTGTCTCATTCCGCTCACAGACTCTGTGGGCCAGGGGTTCAAACAGGAGACGGCAGGGACTGCTTATCTCTCCTTCACAATGTCTGGGCCCTCAGTTGGGGAGGCATGGGGCTGGGGTCATCAGGAATCTCATCCATTCACAGGTCTGGCAGGTGGCACTCGTTGTGGGCTGGGATCTCAGTGGGTTGGCAGCCAGGACACCCACACGTGGCCACTCCATAGGCTTGAGCTGCCTTACAGTGAGGTGGCCTCAGTCTGATGTGTGGCTCAGAGTCCAGGGCTCTGACTGTAAGTGCTCCAGGGAAAAAAACTGCCAGGCCTTTTGCCCTGTAGCTTTGGAAGTCACAGAACATCACTTCTGACACATTCAACTGATTGCAAGCAAGTCAGAAACCTGCCCAGATTCAAGGGAAATGGGTATCCCAGGGATGATTGTGTGTATTTGCTAACATGTTTAAAACCCTCCAGAGTAGCTATGTTGCCAGATCCAAGCTAGGCCTCATGTCACTCAGTCACTTTCTCTGTAAGGAGCCCCTTTGTCTTCACTTCTTGGATCCTAGGATGCTTTGGAGGCAACCATGGGGAAGTGGCTTAAGTGGTTCTTGGTTCTTTGGCCTTAGTTGAGTTTAAAAGTGGTAGAAATTCTGTGGGAAGCCCTCTGATTTACTCTTCCTCCGATCCGTGGCCCTGCCCTGCTATCTTACCACTGCACCCAGCCCCTGCTTTGATGGCTGTGTCGCAGGTCCCCGGGAGTAGTCTGGCACCCTCTTGCATGTCCTTGCAGAATGAATTCAACACCAATGATCTGTGCCTGGCTCAGCACAGATCTCTCCTCAGGCCATACCTTCATGCCAAGCCCTCGCCTTACCATACTTTCTGACCACAATTGTTTCTCCCCTATGGAGTGGCTTGGCCTGCAGTTCCAGAAGGCATTGGCCTGCAGTGCCTAGCACAGAGCCGGCACTGGGAACTTGCTTAATAACAGATTGATGAAAAAAAAAAGAAAAAAAATAACTGATTGATGAATAAATGAACCTGATTTGCATATGCTGTGGATAACTCAAGGGATCTGATTCAGCCTGACTCACCAGAGGATGGGTGGGGATTTGAGCAATGGAGGGCCTTGCATATTCCCAGAAGGGAGGTTGTATAGCGTGTGTGTGTGTGTGTGTGTGTGTGCACGCGCCCACGTGAGTGGGGGGTGCTGCTGTGGACATATGTCTTGGAGGGACTGGGAATGGGTGGTGATGGTCCTGTGGCATGATATTACAGGCTGCGGCCAGCACTTGACACCACAGGATTACCTGGCTTCTGAAAATCTGCCCTTTATAATCTCCATTGCTTGGCAACTTTTCTGGTCACGTTGAGCAAACCCTCCAAATGCCAGGCTACTTGTCAAGTTTCTAGGGGCTCAGATCCCTGCTGCTTTTTCTTTTCCCTCCCAGAGTGTGTGGATAAATTACCAGAAGCTCCTTCTTCTTTTCCTTCCTGAAGTGTGTGGATAAATCACCAGAAGCTCTCTGGGTAAGCCTGACCTCACTTGAAAGGACCTATTTAGGATAGACGTGCGAACGGGGGAAAGGGTGTCTAGACTTGTAGGGCCCTATGTCAATGGGAGAAATGACAAAAGTAACTGCTAATCAGTCAACCCAGCTAGAGACCTGCAGTCCCAGGAAAACTTTTAGGAACAATCTGCTATGTGTTTCTCATTTACAGAAAAAGAAAACCATAACAAAAACCAAAAATCAACAACAACAAACAAAGAAAGAGACTTCCAGGCTTCCTGCAGTGAGAGAGCTATTGGCTGGGATGGTATCTCCAGGGAGAAAGGACTGCATGCTGACAGCAGGAGTCTTCATTGCACATAAATGAACTTGCTTCTTTTTCTTTCTTTTTCATACCCCGCGCAGATCCACAGCTCCGTGCACAGGAATTTGCCATGCGTGTGCATCCCCAATGCAGTAGACTTTTCTATACGCTACTTCTAATCCGAACAACATCTCAACGAGAGGTGGATTCTTACTTCCAATCTACAGATGAAAAAACAGAGGTTCAGAGAAGTGAACTCAATTGCCCAGAACACACTGCTAATAAGTGAATGAGACAGATTATTTATTCACTTAATGAACATACTAGGTGATGCATTAAGCTCTGGAGAAAAAAAGGATGACTAAAATGTGTTGGTTCTGGCCAACAAGAAATTCGGGGCAGGAGAAGAAGACAGCAATTACCCAATAATACGGTAAATGCAATGACAGAGCCATACATTGAGCATTAGGCTAAGCACCAAGAGGGGCATCTAATGCAGCTGGGGTGGGTCAGGGAGGGCTTCCTGAAGGAGGTGATGTTTGAACTGAGTAGGATAGGCAGGAGTTAACTTCAGCGAAGAGAGGCCATGGGATGGGGTGGAGAATTCCAGAAAGAGGAGGTAGGACAATCAAGGATGGAATTAAAAAAACAGCAGAGCACGTGGAACCATGACCAGTTCTGTGTTGCACTGTGTTGCACCCCCAGTTGGTCCAACTGGGGTTTATCTGATCTCGAAATGCAAGCACTCTTCCACTGTGCCTGACTTCCCGAACTAGTTGATTTTGGAGGTCATGGCAAATGCATTGCCTTCTGGGGGCTTTGGACGTCCAGTTTTTACTTTTGGAAGTCCCTTCCTATGGCATTAACAGGATGTAGGACGCGTTCCTGGCACTTCTCCATTGTGGCTTCTCAGCAGGGCTTAAAGGGGACCAGGAGATAGCTGTGCCCAAGGCTTTTGACTCCACCGAGGGAAAGTCAGTGCACCGCCCCGAGCTTCCTGACTGCCCCGCAGCGTCTTAGAAGTAGGCCAAAGATCACCAGGGAACAGTGGCTCCTGGGTTCAGTGCCACAAAGCGAGCTGTGATGAGTCAGAATGAAGCAACAGTTGCATACACCGACAGGTCCAGTTGGCAGCAGGTAAAGATATTACCTCAGTGAAAGAAAGACAAGGGCTGAAAATGGGCAAGGTCTAAGTGTGCCAAAGATCTGCTGTGTTCTTTCTTTCTTTCTTTTTTTTTTTTGAGGGGGGATAGCCACGGTAGGAGTGTGGGGGGGTGGTAGGGGAGGGAGACCTACGATACATGCATTTACATTTCCAGCCCCTGCTTGGACAGATCCTATTTCCACAGGCTGACCCCAGATCATCCTCACCACGTGGCTTTTTGATATCCTTTCTCATGGGGCGAGGACTTGAGGATACAGACTTTTGGGTTCAGTCAGAGAATACCTTCTCCTGCAAGGCAGGCCTCATGCAGATAGGCGGAGTTCCTGTCCTGCTGCGAGAAGTTCACAGGAAGCACCCCGGTGGCTGATGAGTTAGGGTGACCTTTCTAAGAAGCTCTTTTTGGTGTGGGGCCTGGAATCCTTGTGCCAGGAGCTGGGAGTAAACTTTGTCATTTGATGGGTCAGGAAACTGAGTTGAGGCTAAGAGGGGAGTGACTCACCAAAGGTTTTAAGACTCAGATTAGACACAGAACTCAAAGCCTAGTGCTTCTTGCACATGTTGGCTTGCGCAGCCCCCCTCCCCCTCCCCCAGCACCCCCCTACCGCTACAATCTTGCTGCTGTGCCCATGTCACGAAGCCTCAAATACTCTTTAATTATCTTTTAGATGAGCATTGCTGCTTATTTACCTTTTCTTTACTAAGAGAAGCCACTTGAAAGGCCACATTTCCTTGCTATTTGTAGGTTCAGTGCCCATCACATTGTCTAAGACAGAATTGACGCTAAAAGTGTTTGTTCCTATCGTATTTCTACTCTTGAATGCACAAACAGAGACCCCACTGCGAGTTGAGATTTGGTGGATCATTTTGATTTAAACGGGACCTCACATTTAACAGGTCTTCCGGTCTATTATCTTGCCTGGCCCTGTTCAAATAAAGCTATATTTTCTGGGTTATTTTTGCAATCATAATTCTTGACAGGAAAATCCTCCCATCGAATCATTGCTTTATTTCTTTGTTTCAGGAGATTATCTAGCGTGTCTAATAGAACAACAAGTCACGTCCCGTGGCTCCAGGTCGGCTCTTCTACAGCATACCAGAATCAACCACAAAGCCCTTGCCTCCAACCTCACCCAAGTCAAGCGTGGAGGTGGGGCTGCTCTCTGTCCTCGGGGGAGCTGGAATCTATGACCAAATGGGTATGTTCTTTCTTGATTTCTCCGGGGTTCCCCAGAGAGGTGGCATTCCTGGATGACGGGGTACAGAGAGCTCTGAAATTCACTTTTCCATGAAGCAACATAAGCTCAAATCTAAGAAAGAATGGTCCAGCTGGGAGTTGTCGGAATATTGGCGGAATTTCCCTTCTTGCGATTAATTCATTCATCTGGGATAGAAAAGGCATCTCTTGGGGATGATTTAGGTCAGCAGTGTCCAACCGCTTTCAGGATGGGGAGCACATTTTAATGTCAAAAAATTTATAGACCTGCAGATAAAGATACTTACATTTGAGAAATGCATGGGTGGAGCAAATGCTTAATAGTAGAGGCTATCACCTTTGAAGGAATTTGAAGGCTGGTAATCACAGTCTTTTTTTTAAATAATAAATTTATTTTTTATTGGTGTTCAATTTGCCAACATACAGAACAACACCCAGTGCTCATCCCGTCAAGTGCCCCCCTCAGTGCCCGGCACCCAGTCACCCCCATCCCCCACTATTCTCCCCCTCCACCACCCCTAGTTCGTTTCCCAGAGTTAGGAGTCTTTATGTTCTGTGTCCCTTTCTGATATTTCCCACACATTTCTTCTCCCTTCCCCTCTATTCCCTTTCACTATTATTTATATTCCCCAAATGAATGAGACCATATAATGTTTGTCCTTCTCCGATTGACTTACTTCACTCAGCATAATACCCTCCAGTTCCATCCACGTCGAAGCAAATGGTGGGTATTTGTCATTTCTGACAGCTGAGTAATATTCCATTGTAGACATAAACAATCAAAATCCTAGAGAAGAACACAGGCAACACCCTTTTTGAACTCGGCCACAGTAACTTCTTGCAAGATACATCCAGGAAGGCAAAAGAAACAAAAGCAAAAACGAACTATTGGGACTTCATCAAGATAAGAAGCTTTTGCACAGCAAAGGATACAGTCAACAAAACTCAAAGACAACCTACAGAATGGGAGAAGATATTGGCAAATGACGTATCAGATAAAGGGCTAGTGTCCAGGATCTATAAAGAACTTATTAAACTCAACAGCAAAGAAACAATCCAATCATAAAATGGGCAAAGGACATGAAGAGAAATCTCACAGAGGAAGACTTAGACATGGCCAACATGCACATGAGAAAATGCTCCGCATCACTTGCCATCAGGGAAATACAAATCAAAACCACAATGAGATCCCACCTCACACCAGTGAGAATGGGGAAAATTAACAAGGCAGGAAACCACAAATGTTGGAGAGGATGCGGAGAAAAGGGAACCCTCTTACACTGTTGGAGGGAATGTGAACTGGTACAGCCACTCTGGAAAACTGTGTGGAGGTTCCTCGAAGAGTTAAAAATAGACCTGCCCTACGACCCAGCAATTGCACTGTTGGGGATTTACCCCAAAGATTCAGATACAGTGAAACGCCGGGACACCTGCACCCCGATGTTTCTAGCAGCAATGTCCACAGTCTTTTCTATATGCGATCCCGAAGCTGACTTCCTGCTGTCACTCTGCGTTTCTGTGACTCTCTGTGTCTGTCTTCACCACTGGACTTGGAAGCTCCACGAGGACAGAGTTGGTCTGACTTGTTCACTATTATATACTCTGCACGCAGTCTGGTTCCTGGCACAAAGTAGGCACCCTCTGTGCCTTATTTGTAGAATGAATAAATTAATACATTAGAAGTGTCAGAGTAGGGACGCCTGGGTGGCTCAGTGGGTTAAGCGTCTGCCTTCAGCTCAGGTCATGATCCCGGGGTCCTGAGATCGAGCCCCCTGTAGGGCTCCGCAGCACCTGCTTCTCCCTCTCCCTCTGCCACTCCTGCTGCTTGTGCTCTCTTGCTTTTTCTCTCAAATAAATAAATAAAATCTTTCTTAAAAAAAGAAGTGTCAGAGTATATGTACATGAGTCGTCCTCTTTAGTCCGTCTGCAGGTACTGATTCATGCAAATATGGTGCCCCCATCTATGGGAGCCCACAGACTGGACATCATGGATTTAGATTTACATCCCCTATTTTGTTCCATTTTCCCCCACGGGGAGCCTAATGTTCAGTAGACCACAAACACTGGCCTCTGGGTTTAGAGGCACATGATAACTAAAAGTGGGAGCCAGCCCCAGTTGACCCCTCAAACTCCCTCCCTAAATGATAGATCCATGAAGAGGACAGAGTGTGCAGCTTAGAAGGCCTGGAACTTCCCAATACCCGCTGAGACAGGGGCATTGATGACGGCTTCTTTCAAGAGCCAGTTTCTAACATTTGTAGGAGCAAAAGGTAAGCTGATCTCTGTGAGCCTCTAGATCCTCTAGTTGTTATTTCAACCCCAAACAGGCTTGCAAGGGTACTTTGCCTATTTCCTCTGTCAACCTATTTGCGCGGAGTGTTGATAACTGAAGTGACACCCAGTAAACACCCTTTGTCTTGTAAGACTGACAAGGCTGGAGGGGAGATGAGTAGGGAAATCTAGGAGTTGAAAGAAGGAATGCTCGGATTTCCAAAAAATGTGTGTGCATCCGTCGTCAGAGAGTGTGTGGGTTATTACTTAAATACTGACGTCTTTCTTCCCCTCTTCAGTTAAAGCAGCCTCTTCTCTTGCTTCTCCCTGCATCTTTCTGTCCTCTCCAAACAAAGAAAAGGAGAGTGATGTTCCAGGTGTGAACACATCAGGGAGGTTTCCTGCTTGGGATTCAGAAATTCACAGCCTGGAGGAAATGAGCGAAAGAGAGGAGAGAACAAGAGAGATGAAAAACCGAATCTCCGCCACCTGCTATTTAGTGATTAGCTCCCAGATAAGGAAGGCGAAGACACATTCCAGAAGCTCAGGACTTGCCCAGACGGAACTCAGAGTACAGGGGGGTTCGGGGTGGGGTGGGGGAGTAGAAGCCAGAAGTGGGAGGGGACGGCTGGGCTGCTGAAACCCCATCCATCAATTCTCTCTTAAAACCTTCCCTTTTCAAAAAAAACAAAACAAAACAAAACAAAACAAAAAAACTTCCCTTTTCATGCAGCTCTTATAAATGTCAGCCCTCTCCGTGCCCTCTCTTTCCTTCACCCCACCTTACCTGCTTCGGTTTTTGTGAAGGAATCTTGCAAAGATTGGCTCTTTCCCTAACCTACTGCATGATCCTGGGCAAATCACTTCTTAGCTTTTGGTCTAGGGGGCCGCTATCTCTTGACTGGCAGTAGCTTAATCGAAAGCAGAAGAAAAGAGGTCAACAATAGCACCCAACCAACCGAACAAAAGAAATCGGGCCCCCAAACACCATAATGCTGGGTAGGAGAAGCCCTGGCGAGTGCGCAGGTGAGCGGCCTTCGTTGTGGTTCTTACTTGTGTGCACACCAGGCTGTTAGACTAAAACCACAAGGAAAAGCAAGTGCTTATTCACTCCCTCACTGGAGGAGCAGGCTGCTGGTTTGTGGTGCTTTCCTTCTAGGTGGAAAGGGGGTGCACACGGTTTCTGCGCAGGCTTCTCTTGTGCAGGGGGCACCTGTGGCCACCACCCTGACCCCAGGTTTTGAGCAGAGGGGGCAGAGGGTGCCGTGTACCTGTCTGGGGTGTGTAGCCTCTTCCCTCATTAGCCTTTTCTGCTCCCTTTGTTCTTGTGACTGACAGTGTCTTGTCCTTGACAACAGCCATGTGTTCAATTTTTCCAACGTGGTGAGGTCAGCACATTGGCTTTTAGCCTCTAGAGCAGGTAAGAGCCATTGAGCCTTGACAGATACAAGAGCAAGTTGCTAATTCACTCTGATTTTCATTTTGCACTGCTCCCGTAAAAGATAAATGTGGAGCCATGGACAATTACGCTATAGTAGAAAATAAATACTCTGGTGATTAAACACTGGAAATCACTAGTTTCAAAATTTCTCTAAAAATACAGCCCCAGATGTCATGCAAACTCCAATCAAACACGGGCTATAAAAATCAAACCGTAGACATTGCCTTATGAAGTGTTCACAGATGTAACACGAGTAGAAATTCTCACAGCTTAGAAAAGCAGGGCTTATGCTTTCTTCCTTTTTTTTTCTTGAGGGGGGATGGGGAGTTGTGCATCAAACTGCTCATTTCAATATGTGATTTGCCTCAAAGAGTTTCTGACTTAATTTATTTTCTCACCAACCTAAACCAATTCAAAAAAACATTTATTGAAACCCGAACAATCTACTTTTGGTTGACGAGTGCTAATAGGTGCAATGTTACCCCTGTCAACTTATAAGATCACCTACTGAGCTTGCAGCTAAACAGGAAAAAGTAAATTGAACTGGAGTTTGAATTTGTTTCCTTCTAAATTCCCTGCTATGGTTGGACAAGTACACTGCTTAATGAGAAACAAATTGCACTGTGGGCATTTCTTTATTAAAAAAACAAATTTTTCCTTTTTTTTTTTTTAAGTTGTAAGATGTTCACATCTTAGTATTGGATGTACCTCTAATGCAGAGGGGCTATATCTGTATGAAAAAAACAGATAAATGCTGTCAAAAAGTCTGTTTTTTTCAAGACTCCTTTGCTAGTTCCTGGGCTAAATAAGTATTTCCAGCGAAAACTGACAAATATAATTATTTCTGGACTTTGTTTTATTTTTCCCAATAGACCAGCCTCTCTTCTGTCTTTGATTCCATGGAGAGGTAGATTCCCTTGAGCAATTTGTCAACATTATGCCATTTTTAGTTTGAGAGCTTTTCTTGGGGTATCTAATAGGAGGAAATAGGAGGAAATAGGAGGGTGTGAGCAAGCGTATGTGGGCACCCACGTTCCCTACGTGCATGTGTGTAGTGCCAATGATGGTGTATCACCGCTGCATTAAAATGCCACACCAGCTCTTTGAATAAATCAGACAATTTGCTCCAAACAGTCAGCTCAACATTATCTTCTCTCTCCTCTTGACTTGTAGTTAACTAAGAGAATGTGGTCATTAAGTGTGAACATTCTAGACTGCACCAGCTGGTATCAAAGATCCTTTCCTCCCTCCCCTCTGGGTGCACACTACTTCTGTTTTCTGGTCAGGGACGGCCAGAGTTCATCTGCTCTTCCGTTCGTTCATTCATTCAGTCACTTACAAATAGGGAGTCTTAAAAAACAAAACAAAACAAAAAAAACAAAAAACAAAATAGGGAGTCTTCTAGGTGCCGAGGATGCCAAAGAGAACAGGACAAAGAAGGTCTCTAACCTTTTGAGGATTGCATTCTGGGATGAGAAGACAAACAATAAAGAAAATAAATAAATAAACACCATAATCTCAGGTCATGATAATTACCATGGAGACTGAAAACCCGAGAGAGATGACAGCGGATGACAGTGTCGACTTGGAGACGGAGACCAGAGAAGTGCTGCCTGAGAAGGTGCTGTGTGAAGACAGGCGGGCGGTGGGTGATGGGGGGGTGGTGGTGGCATGCAGCGGGGGATGCTGTGTGCAGAAGAAGCAGAGAAGGTACAGCACCTCAGCAGGCCAAGGTTAGCTCGTTCAAGTGAGCTGTCCCTTCTCTGCATTCTCCCTGAGGGGATTTTCTTGACCCCTTTGTAAACCAGCTGGGAAGTTGTACTCCGGCTGGGAGGACTATGAAGATCTGGGATGCTTTATTAAGGGAAACTGAAGTGTCGCTTTCCTTAGAGTAGAAGGCCTTGCAGGAGAGGTTGAAAACCTATACCCCTGTGACCCCACTTTTGCCAGGAACATGTACCTTCGGGGAAGTCCCTTCTCCAGTCTGACTTCGGTTTCTTCCTGAAATAAGGATGTCGGATCGAGTGATCTTAAATTCCCTTCCAGGGCAGACAGTCTCTGAGCCCTTTGAGAACAGAAGCTGGAGTTGCATTTCCCTGCTTGAGAATGTCCTATTAATATGGACTTGCTCACTAGGATGTTCAAAGCCAAGGCCGAGGTAAAAACTCCAGCATATGAACTGGAGTTCCACCTGGCTGCTTCCTCCAGGAGTCCAAAGGAGCCACGTTCAGACACTTGACATCTTTTAGTCTCCTTGATTTGGTCTGTTCTATGGCTTTAATCAGTAGGGAGCCAGGCAACCAATAGAGAGAGTTCTATGGGGACGTCAGATCTCACAACATGTGCTGAGATGAGGCACCCTGGCCATATGCAACCGTGTGAGGAAGGGCAGGTCTGATGGCAGAGAAAGGGCAGACTGGGGTCCCAGGGCCTTAGCCTTCAATAATACATGATCTCTCCTTACACGGGGTTTTGGTTAAAGGCAGCCCTTTACTGTGATCCTCTGTCTTGCTGACATGGAAGCAGCTTTTTAAAAATCCTCCCTGTAATCAACAGAGAATCCCATGGCTCTGTTGGGTCTGCTGGATGGTGTTTTATCAGTTCAGGGTGAACAACATCCCAAAGCCCAGTAAAGGTAGAGGATGAAGTGGTATTATTCATGTATGTGTGTTGAGCATCCTTACCATACGGAAGAAGGCATCTAGAGAGACACGTAGTGAATTAGATGTAGTCTTTGACCTCAAGGAATCTCCTCAAAATGGGTCCATAGGCACAGGTCCAAGAGAAGGGAGGGATGGATACAATGAAGGGATGGTGGTGGTGGTGGTGGATGAGTTGATACTTTGACTCAGTCTTTACCACACTTGGAGTAATTACGGCTTCAAAGGTCAGAGACAGGGGCAAAGAAGGGCATTTCCAGACAAGGGAACAGAATGAGTAAAAGCTGGGCACAGCATAGAACTTCCAGGAAGACCATCAATTTATCTGAGCTTCAAGAGAAGGGACCCTCGGAAGTTTAACTAACTCCAAGAGTTTGACACAAAGAAAAGCCAGAGCTCTGCCTCTTTGGAATGCAGATGCCTTTGATCCTGCTGTACCAGTTCCCATTCCAGAAGCACAGCTCCCTCCTTCCCCCTTCCCCTCCCTCCTCCC